TCACCTCCCAGTGCTGCGACTCCAAGTGTGCACCACTGTGCCCAGCTTATTAATTTTTTTAATATGTAGGAGTGCGATGTTTGCATGTATGTCTGTGCACCGCTTGTGTGTGTGGTACCTACAGAGGCCAGAAGATGGCATTGAATCTCATGGAACTAAAGTTATAGATGGTTGTGAGCTGTCACGTGGGTGCTGAGAATAAAACAGGAGGACCCCTGGAGGATGGAGAGACATGGCTCCTTCTCCTTCCTGTCCCTTCTTTAAAGTGGGTTCTGGAGATGGCCCTCAAACCCTGTGCTGACGATCTCCTCAGCTGCAGAGTTCTATTTAAGAAGAGTGGCCTTGGCATTTCCATTAGGGCTCAATACAGGTGCGGGGCTGAGGAACAGCCAAGAGACTGAGAGGGTGGCATCGATACTCACTACGTCATTGTGCGCTGAGTCCCGAGCAAGTTCACGGTCACATCCTTAAAGGATGAAGACATATAATGGTCACATTAACCAGGTCTCACTGTGATGTGAGGAGCAGGAGCAGCCAGGTCCTCGGCTGAGCGGAAGTAAACTGGCCAAGTGGCCTTGAACCGAGGACCAAGCCTCAGAGGAGGCCGTTCCCAGTCTGAGCATCTGTGTGTGTGGGGGGGGGGTTTGGGGGGGGACGACCAGCCTTGGCAGGCTCCGATAAGGCCCTGACTTGACTCTTTGTTCTCCCAGGCTTGGCAGCAGATGGGAAGTGAACGCTCACAGGCAGCAAGAACCAGCCTTATCCTTTGGGTCTGTGCCCATCTGTCAGACAGTTGACAAAGTCATGTTCTTACTAGGAAACGCTCAATACAGCCCCACTCATTGTGTGACACAGAAAACTGATGTCACCTCTTGGAGGAGCATAGCTCTGAAAACCCTCAGAGTCAGAAGTGTACGTGACAGCAGGGGACACGTCGTGTGTTACCTGGCGTCACACATTACATTCCAAACCCACCCGTAATTCTGGAAAGGACGGCTCCACAAACCTACTGGTGTTTTCTGTCTTGGTTGGAGAATTTATATTTTTTTTCCTCATGTGCATTTGACTGTAGCAGAAAATACATCTAATAAAGCGTTGACAGGCTGAGACAACTTAACACACTCACATATTGGTTCAAGTAAAAAATATTTTCGTGGAGAAAAGCGAAGCAAAACCAGGCTCCAGGAAGACACCACACCAGCATTCACGGCAGCACACTGGTATTCATGGCGGGCAGATCTTGTTTTTCTTGAGTAGTCCCCAGGAGCGGTCAGGGGAGGCAGTGATCTCTACACGGCCAGCTTTTAAGTTCAGAGTGGACCTGTGATGTGCTTTTTTTCCCCCCTCCCCACTGAGGATGCTGGATCTCATGTGAGTTTGTCTTGGAGATGTTTATATTCTCGCCCATCTTCTTCCTCTGAGGAGTTCACAGTTAACCCTCAACTACCCAGCCCTCCTTCTGTTTGCAGTCTCAGCAATGGCTTTCACATCGTGAATCTTCAGTCCTCTCCTCACCGTCTCTGTCGGCTTCCAGCCTGGCTTTGTCCTGTCATCGTCCTAATCTCTTCACCCTGACTGCACTGGGCGGCCTGCCCAGAGGCTATCACACAGGGTCAGACAAGAGGCATATGCCAGGCATGGCTGCTCTGTTAATCTGATAGATGTGGAAATTATCGAATTGGCATGATGCTGCATGGAGAATTGATCCCAGGGACCCCGGAGAGGTCTGATGCTAAGCCACACCCTCGTGGTTATGCCTGCTGCTAACTGGTAGGCCACACCTACATCTTCCAGGGCTCCTCCCCTGCAACTCTCCCCAATTTTCTGCTGCTGTGACAGGTGCAAGAGTATAAGAATCCAAATTGAGTTTTGGTTTCTGTCTCCAAGCCAAACCGTGAGATCTTGGCCATCACGTGTGAGCTGTGGAGTTACGCATACCTGACTTGTTCTTTTACTGTTTGTAAGGTGAACAGATTATAGCACATTAAAAAAAATGCTATCCAAGAACAGTGACAGTTACCCTTATCTGTAACAAACAAAGGGAGGGTTTGTTTAGCTTCACAGAGGTGGTCTTCTGGACACGTGACAGACTGAGGACTGCAGCGGTGGTATAGAACATGCTTAGGTGTCTAGCCTGGGTTCCAGTAGGTCACCACAGTAGACCTGTGCTCACCTCATCTGTGTGTGACACCTCAGGCTGAGGCCCTTCACAGCAACTCCTGATGGGAAGCCAGACCTGAAGGGACAGTCCTGTGCTTAGGGGAAGACTCCCATAACTATACTGAAGGAGCTGGGGATGGCGCACAGGGGAAGGTGGAGACTCCCAGCACTTATTTACTTAGGGTAAGGGAACAGTTTTCTACAGATAGGACAGCCAGGTCTGTAGGATTCTGCTTAGGATCTTAGTCATACAACCAGAACAATTAATGCTTGTGAACCCAAACGTTATTTGCGCATGAAGAGAGCTTTCGCTTTATACCACTGTTTGCTTTTGGTGAGAACTGCCCCAGCCCCTTTAAATCTTGCTGTAGTAAGACCAAAGCCAACGGACACTGTTTATAGTCTGTGTAGTGTCTTCAAGAGCTAGGAAACAACAGTCTCAGTTTCTAGCTCTGAGAAATAGAAGATGGAGTGAACTGGAGAACTTGCGTGAACTTGAAAGCGATAATCACAAAGCTCCAGAGATTCAGTACTTCAACCCACCACTGGCTGAACTGAAATGTGGGCACACCACTGTCTGAGACTTAGCTACAATTTGAGGGAAACATCCGGAGCAGTAAGCTCACTGCAAAGGTCTCTTAGTCTACAGAGTGAGGTCAGGAGCAAGGAAAATGACTTTTAGGAAGGGCTTTCCCTGACCAGGAGCACGGAAAATGACTTTTAGGAAGGGCTTTCCCTGACCGCTGCCACCTCAACACACTTAAATCACGGCTGAGAGGGTAGCCAGGGGATCTGGCTCGGAACATCACTGCAAGCAACCAGGCATGTCAACCAGTCTAAAATTCATGAAGTTAAACAAACAAAAAACAAAAAACAAAAAAACCCAAAAAATCGACAGGACCACCAGATTTAGAAAATGTCCTACAATGTGCATTTTATTCCATATCATTATACAATGTTTACATATAGTTATAACTCTTCAGAAAATGCCGTTTCTTTACCAATTATGTATGTAGTGCCTAGATCTTTCACCCTGACATGGAGAACTGCAAAGAGGGGCACTCCCCATGGAATGCTCTCCCTGCTGAGCTGGAAGGGGCTGCAGGTGTGTCAGTTGGGAAGGAAAGGGACTCTTAAAAGACCAGCGCGGCTTCCAGACCCTTGACTTTAATGAAGACAGGCATAAGAAACCCATAGTCTTGTCTTGCAGTAAAACTGAAAATAAATTAGTGTTGGACGGAGGTCTAAACTGTATAATATTGAACAAAAGACCCTCAGGGGTCCTTCTGGTTAAAGTAGCACCAATCCGCACCCGATTGTCTCCAACATCAGTCTTCTTGGTGACTCTACCTTGGCACTCTGGCTGGAAATCTTTCTGGCTCTGTGAGGCTTCCTACCCTGGCTAAGCGAACCGCATGCCTAAAACGCTAAGAAGTGTGGCAACATCACCCTGGGTAATGGCACGTTTAAGTGATTAGGGCCCCGACCGGGCCTTACCTCTCTGTGTGTCTTTCCCCACCCCCTGCCCTAGCTGGCTCTTTGCAGATGTTTCGGTGACAGTGGATAAAAGTATATAAAAATGCGTCGAAGGAGTTTCCTGAAGCGGGTGTTTGAAAACGAAAGAAAACAATGACAGGGGAATGAAGGGGTGTGGCCGCGGCTAAGGAGGCTCTCACATGTTGTTTAGCTCCAGTAAGGTCTGGTCCAGCATCTGGTGCATACTAAGGTTCTCTTCTTTGGCATGAGCCACTTTCTCTGTGATGGGATTAGAAAATGAAGTCATGAATAGCTGCGCGCCAGGCGTGGTAGTGGTTTGCACACGTAGTAAGCAAACATCAGTCGCACACACAGAAGAGGAGCGGCACTCCACATGCTCAAGACAGCACGCGTTTCCAGACAAGGCCCGGGGTGCATCTACACCATCCATCCACCCTGACGGCAGGGGCAGGGTGTGTTTGGTGAAGGCTCACCCACAGGGTGCTGCGGGAACAAGGGAGGGGCAAAAAACCAAATACAGGTAGAGAGCATTGTTACACAAACTGAAGTTAATACCAGCAGAGGATTCTGGGTTACAGGCAGTTAAAGATCTGGTAGCTGTGTGAGCGAGCACACAACCTCACGAAAACAAAGATGACATAAATAGGTTTCTAACCACTTTTTAAACGGTTTATTTCTACTTCTCACAAATGGTTATGGACACACCTCATGCACACTTCATTAGGACAGTCTCTTAGTATTTTTATGGTATTCTACTTATTAGAATGCCACCCATCAGAATCCAACACCGTTGAGCTAAAGGAAGCATACCTTTCCACCAGGGACTTCTGATACGAGCTCCTGCCTTCAAAAGCTATTTGCCCAAGCATAGGTACATTGAATCACAGTTCAAACACTATACATGTTACGAAGATGTTAGAGACACACATTTGTAATAGATATTTAAAGGAGGACTCCCAGCTGATTAAGAGGAAATAGCAAAACTTTTTTGGTAGGGGGAGGCCCTCATTATCAGTCAGTTCAAAGTGGACCTGTTGATGTGGGAAGGGCTGACTTGATTGGTATAAATATTTTCACGTATACGTAATATATCATAAAAACTTTGGGGGGAGTTAATGAGGATTTAACTGAGACATACAGAGGAAAACAAGGCAAGACTGGTCTTCCAACCAATGCCTTTCCTTCCCATTTCTGCAGAAAGCGATCGTTTTCAATCCCATGAGTCATAGATTTCCTGAACAGGGGCTCCATTCCTAGAACTTGGCCCAAGTTTCTCCACACAAATTTTTAATCCTCATTCAGGGCCAGCTTTAGCTCGTTAGTTAGGCGGCGGTTTTGCTCGAGTTGATGGTAGAGCTGGTCTGGACAGGTCAGCAAGGGTTAGCAGAAAAGAGGAGACAGAAGGAAGAAGAGGTTAGCTCGAATCAGCGAGAGGCAGTTAACAGGCTGGAAAACACGGATACACAGGAGAGCAGTGGTATACCCTGACCCAAGGTCCTGTACCCTGTGCCCTGCGACGGTGTATGGCAAGGCCTGGGAGAATGGAGAAAGGGCTGGAACCTTGATGGAGATGTAGAACAGAAGGAAGGAGGTGCAGGATGCCGGAAGGAACCAATGCTCCTTCTGCACCTCATTAAAACCATCCTGTGACCTGAGGTTATGTGCAGTTTGGGACAACAGATTTGGGGACTAAGGCCAGGCTGGAGGCCAGGTCCTGCCACTTATGCCTTCCTTGCTAGAGCTCTGCAGAGATTCTAGGTGAGCCCCTGACCAGTCTACTTCTGTCCACTCTTCTTGAACCCCATCCTCACTGCTCAGGTGCAGGGTCGTGCTGAGCTAGTGCTACCATTTCCGCCACAAGGACGTGTTTTGAAAGACCCCCCCTCTAGACACAGGGGCACATACAAAGTCTGAACTCTCCTCTGACCTCAGTGGTGTGTCACCCACAGCAAACAAGTTGTTTATCTCCACTCCGCCTGATTCAGAACTTATCTGTGTGCTTCAAGACGATGAGATTCATGCTGGGTATTGACAGCGTGCATAAAATAAATAAAACTGGGCCAGGGAGATGACTCAGCGGGTAAAGGTGCTTGCGACAGAGCCTGATGACAGTTGGGTCCCCCAGGTTCTACACAGTGGAAGGAAAAAACCAACTTGGACGAGCTGTCCCCTGACTTCCGGATGTACACTGTGATATGCGTCCCCCCCTTAAATAAACCTTCTCAAACATCTACACTTGCCCAGTGTGATAGAAGCTTTAGGTACTGCCTTGTAGTCCACTCAGGTGGCAAAGCAGTCCACCACAGAACTCAGCCTGTGTCTGATGAGCCAGGGGACACCTGGTGACAAAGAAGCTAGCTAGCACCTACTAGGAAAAGTGGGGTGTGTGTGGTTGCTTTGAATGACGGTGACTCTGTGGACCTGGACATTCTACTTGATGATCTCGGAGAGCTAAGAATCCTACTGCCTAGTGAGCAACCGCGGCTCTCACTGCTGGGCACGCAGCGATTCTCTCAACTTTCTCTCATAAACGGTGGGAAGTGGGGGAAGTTGCTACACTCCTGATGTCTGTTGCGGACGTACTATGAAGAACTATGTTCAACCCATGCCTTTTCCTCTTATCTAAACTTTCTGAATATCCAAAACTCCATTCAGCTGTCACCTGCTCCAGGTAGCACCCAGTGAGACTTTCTGTTCTGTTGGCTCCAAACACACAACGTCTGCCAGTGTAGACTCTCTTCCAACATGGCCAGCTTATAAGAGCACACCTAGATCAGCTCTTCTATCCTGCTGCCTTCCAGTGTCTCCCACACTTAGAAGTTGCAAACCAGAAACCCCGTTACTACCATTACTACATCCACAGTAACGTCATGGGAACCAGCACCTTGAGCGGTGGGCAGGACTGTCCCATTTGCTGAGCCCACATGCTTGGCTCTCTAGAAGAGGAAAGCACTGGGGACACCCTAGGGAATCCAGAGGCCAACTAGGAATTTGGATTAAATGGCGGTGCTCCCCATATCAACCCACTTTGGGCCTTGCTCCTTCTATGTGCAAGGGAGCTGGAGACTGAGATGACCTCAAGGCGGGGACCAGACACATTTGTAAGGGCTTTCTCTCCTGTTCTGTACAGACCCCAGTTGTCTTGAGGCATCTGGTCTCAGAGCTGGCAATGCTATTGGTTTGGTTCAACTAAAGCTCTTGAAAGAGTTGCTGATACAGTCTGGCCCTTGCTCAACTAGAAGGCAACTAAACAGGTTCTTGATAAACTCAAAATTTGCTGTCTATGCTCCTGATGTACACACCTTAAGCTACTCTTCATGATCCATTTGTTCCTATTTCCCCCACAGCGAATGCTCATAAGAGTGAGAAATCTTGGGGAAAGTCAAGAAATTTGTATCCCAAGATGCTTTAATGTCTGCTTGGCAGAACCCCAAGAGTCTTGTTTTCTCTGTGACAGAACGCTCTGAGAGAGGGCATTACTATTATTCTGAACTTTAAAGAGAACAAGGTTCCAAAATCATTGAAAAGGGGGCCCAAGGAGCCTCAGGGAAAGAAAAACAAACACAGAGCAAAACAACAACCCCCCCCCAAAAACCCCAGAAAACTGCAGAAGCCTTTGCACCCTTTGGTGAAGAGACACTGCCTGGATCCTAAAATTAGAGTCAACCATATCATTAATTAAAATATTTTAATCCAGACCCTCTGTTTAAAAAAAAAAAAAAACTCGCTCTGCTCTGAAGAGTTCAGAGTAAATGGCTATTTTCCGAGTTTGCCCAAACTGACTTGAGGAGAGTGGTATGCCAGTCTTACTAGGCTAACAAGCACCACCCTGAGCCAGAGGAGGGTTACTCATGCTTAAGACCCAGGAACGGAGCCAGGCTGACGTTAAGAGCTGAGATGCTAGAGGCCACATTGTTTTAAAGTCTTCATTCTCAAATAAAGGCTACTTAGCTGTTTGTGAGCGATAGCAAGCATCGCTTCTTGGGCTCGGTGGGTTGTGAATCAGCTGCAATGGTTCAGAAGCGAAGGGGTTAAACTCACCTTACATAAGCACACCTTCTGTAGAATATATGTTGTGCTTCAGATCCCAAAAATAAACCACGGCTCAAATGCAGCTAATATTTAGAAATCCTATAATGTGATTTTTGTGTCCACAATGAGTGTATCTGGGTAATGAACGTGTTTAAAGACAAATGCTCCGACTCATCTCTGTGCAATAGGACAATACAACAGCCATGACTTACAGTGCTAGAGTCCTAGTTCTTCACAATATGCAGACTCCCTAGCTGCCGAGTACAGGATGGCTACACAGACTTCCATTACTGAACCCAGATGGAGCCATCTCTGTACCAGCACAGAGAGGGTGCCACACCTCAAACTAAACTTTTGGCAGGGAAGACATTGCTCAAGCCAGATTTTGATTCCCACTATCTACCGTGTGGAGGTTCTGAACCCAAACTGTCAGAACTATCACAATTCCCAAAACCACAGACGGCTGGGCCCTCACTCCAGGATCTCAAAGCCAGGTATTATTGTAAAAGTTGCACAAGGAACTACCACTTAAAGACTCCTGATGTTAGCATACAGTGTTCAGAAGAAAAATGTACCCCGAGATGCAGGAAGCCGAACTGCAGCTTTATTCGGTGTTGAGACGAAAGCGTCAATAAATAAGAGTAAAGATAGCAAACGGGAATAGCTTGCAGTGTTTATTGTACACTGGGTGGATAGCTCCTGTACAACAGACGGCACGGGATGTGCCCGGCCCGAAGCTGGGCGCTAAAAGGAAACCTGGGTCAGCTGGAGAACAGACAGATGCAGAGCTCAGAGAGGTGGGACGTCCAGCCTGACGAAGGAGTCTTGGAAGGAGTGAAGCAAAGAAACTTATCTGTGTGAAACAAAAGGTGAGAGAGAGAAACAGTGGTGCAATGGAAAAGGGAAAAGGAAGACGGAAAACCACACGGGTGAATGCAGTGTGTGAAATGCAAGCGAGTATTAAGGCGTGTAAACCCACTGCCAGCTACACCTGGGGGAGGCCATCTGTGCCAACCAGTGTCTGGACCCAAGGCTGTCATGGGCCAACCTCGAGGAAGATCTTACAAACTTTACTTTAAAAACAGAACTTAAAAATAAACCTTAAACTAAGCCCTCCTTTTGGGACTTTCGTCATACTCAAGAGTTTACCCCACAGAGCATCACATCTGAGCACTGGGGTGGACCCGGGCTACAGATGACCTTGTTCCGGAAGAGGCATGCCCTTGTTTCTATGGTGACAGCCAGGTCTCTAAAGGATATTCTGGAACCTCCAAGGCAGCAGGCACATGGCATGCCCCTGGGGCTACTATATTTCTGAATGGTTAGAGAAATGCCATTCCCAGCTCTGATGGAACCCAGCGGTATTAGAACCTCTGTGAAACATTCCAAGGGTTAGAATCCCAAGGGGCACAAGTGTGGTTAGTAATATGTACATTAGCTGTGTATGTCTGAGGGTCCTCAAACAAGGCCAACTATTACTCACATGAGTGAAATATGAACATTAACTTACAAATTCATAGTGTGTAAATGTTTTATTTTTTGTTTCTCTGATGTCAGTGGCAAGCATTTACTGTGGGTATTTTAATTCCATTCAATATAATAAACACAGCAAATAAAAGACTTGGTTCCTCAGGAAACCATTCATTTTTGATCTAGAATTCTCTCTCTCTCTCATTTTATAGACAGGGTCCCATTATATAGCCCTGGCTGGTCTGGAACTTGTTATAGATCAGGCTGGCCTCAAACTCAAGAGATATACCTGCCTCTTCCTCCCATGTACTGAGATAAAAGTCAGGTACTACCAAGGCTGGTAATACTCTGTAATTCGTTACAGGAAGCAGAGATATGTACTTGGTCATGCCCATTTCCTTTTCCTCAGATTTTTTTGATAATCTGAATACTTTAAACTTAACAGTGTTAAGTGAAAATGACCATATTGTACTTCACAGAATCCCAGGAAACAACCTGGTATTTCTTCCTAGCTTCCTGCGTCACTGCAACACGGCCTTCTAGTTTTATTTGAGTCTGGTTTAAGGTTTTTAAAAGGATAGTACTCAGGGCCATTCAGAGTCCAGTTCATCTCTCAGTGGAAAGAAGCCAGATTTGCATTTGTGAAATAAAAGGACTCTGGAATGTTTTGCGTGGACTGGATCTATTTGGTCTTTGTTAGCACAATGTGAAAAAGACTGTGGCTATGTAGGCTATGCAAGAGAGCCAACAAAAGGTGCAAAAATGGAGAGCGGAGACTGAGAAGGGAGCCATGGTGAGTTCATCACACAAGCATGAGGGTGAGGATGCGAGCAGGCAGGGTGCATGAGCATTTACATGGAGGTCATATCGTTGAGAGCGTGGTCCAGCTCCTCGCTGATGGCTTTGTACTTCAGTTTCTGAGCGTACAGCTCATCTATGAGCAGGAAGTGGAAGGCAGAGGTGCAAGGACATGGAGAATGGTCAAGAGATGGAGGGTGAGCAAGAGTGGCATGGGCGCCATCCCGACACGTCAGCAAGGAAAGGGCAATGCATGAAGGGGTTGGTGCCGCAGCAGATGGCCAATGCAGGAGGCGTGCGATTTGTTTTTAAAGGAATCGGAACAAAAACAAAGAGAACAAAAACCCATTAGAAAATGAAATGAGAAAGACTCAATATGAAAAACACAACACCAAGGGTAGGTAATACCAATGAACTTAAATCCTAAAGACACCCACAGAAGACTGTGTCCCCTGGTGGGCAATGGAACTTCTTTCTTTTCACAGAGCTGTCTGCTTACTCTGGAATAGTCAGCAACCTGCAGCTATAAGCTGTGGGGGGGGGGGGGACGGAGGGGGGTATATTCAAAGGCAGCAAGCTCAGTTTTCAATGACAATCTGCAATGCTACCTTCAAACCACTCGCCTTCTTCCCAAAAACCATGGGATTTTGATTTTTTGGAGGTTCTTAAATTATTCCCATGGTTCTCTCTCTTGAGGTGCCTGTTGCTACCACCAGAAGTTTGAAAAGAAAAGGAAGCCACAGTTTGGGGCTTGTCTGCAGTTTAATTTTTGTAATGGTTGTGGGTTTGTACTTGCCACACACTGGCAGGCTTGTGCCCACATCCCATTCTGTCTTCTTTTTTCTTATTGTTATTTGTTAGTTTGTTTGTTTTTCTATTTCTTTTTCTAGTCTCCATAGCTAGGTTGGGACTTGCTGTATATCCCAGAGTAGCCTCAAACTCAGAAATCCCCCTGCCTTTGCCTCCTGAGCGTTGGGATCAAAGGTGAGTGGCTGCTGTCTTGGTAATTAAACACTCTTCAAGCCCTCCTTCAACCCCTTCTCCCTGTGATGTATGGTTGGTTTTTTTTTTTTTCTTTAAGAATGCTTAAGTGTCTTGAGACTTGCTGCCCTATTGATTGCTAATGAATGGCTTAAAAAAAGAAAAGAAAACCAAGGTCTTCTTCTGGGCACACACTTGGAAGATGGGCGTGTCTAAAACACATCCACACTGTTCTGACAGTTAGGAAATATCACCAGAGACACAGAATAAAGCAGAGTCACATCCATCTATACTTATTCCCTCAGTGAAAAACAGCCCAGACCCACTTTTGAAGTCCGAGAAATTAGAGTAAGCTGTCTGGTTCTGACAAACCACCCCCAAGGGGTCCGAGAGTTTCAGTGTCACAGGTGAAAACCCCAGAGGAGAGCCGAGCCAGACAGGTAGTGAGAGAGCAAGACGGAGTCAGGGTGGAAGCCCTCGGATGGCACGGCTGCTTTACCAAGACATTCAACAACGAGGTCTGACTTGCAGAGGTTAACGACCTTACCTTCTAAGTCGTCGATGCTCTTCTCCAACTTAGTTACTGATCTCTCGGCAAACTCAGCCCGGGTCTCAGCCTGTAAGGATTTACATTCACTTGAGTGAAGGTCAGGGAGATTCCGACCAGTCGCTACAGATACAGGGAAAACCAGAGGACGGACCTCAGGTGTTTATCACCCGGGAGAGTCAGGTTGAGTCCCTACTGTGAGCGACGGCAGCTAGCTAACACGGTACATAGAAAACCTCTCAACGTGCCTGACTTGGACCGTTGGATTCGAAAGGACGGTGCCTTGACCCACGCCACAGAACCCTAACCGCCATCCAGAGAGCCTCTCCCAGGGCCTCGCATTACCTCCTTCAGCTTGTCGGAAAGGACCTTGATCTCCTCCTCGTACTTGTCTTCCTTCTGCGAGTACTGTAATTGGAAAGAGCGGTCCAGACGTCAGGCCGCGCGCGGCTCTCACACTCACACAGGGAACGTGCCAGCCCAACCAACAGATGTTGGGGATCCCCTAGCAGGTAACAGGACCTCAGGTATCACATGACACACTACAATACAGTCTCTGCTTTCCTGCCTATTACTTTACATGGGATGAGAGAGAGAGAACTCATCCACTTGGCGTTTGGCTTCAATTGAATTGATGATTTGCCCAACATAAGATACATTCTCTGTTAATCTTTTTTGTTTAAAGAAACCAACCAACCAACCAACCAACCAAACAAACAAACAAACAAAAAACCATCCTACCATCCAAGAACCATTAGGAAATTGTCTCAAAATGCTGCCCCTTGCTAAAATGCCTCCTGCGCCATTAGTTTCACCAGCAGGGCTTCTTGGGAGCAGCCCTTTAAAAAGGTGTCGTCCCCAATCCCTGCTCCTGGCCTACCTTCTCAGCCTGAGCCTCCAGTGACTTCAAGTTGTTCGTCACCGTTTTCAACTCTTCTTCAAGCTCGGCACATTTGCTAATGTTTTCGATCAGAAGCAGAAAGGGTGGGAGACAAGCCCAAGGAGCGAGGAGAGAAAAAAAAGGAGAGGGATGGGAAAAAATGAAAACTGAGTTCTAGAGACGGGGTGGGGTGGGGGCTGCCTTAAGTAGCCAGACCACGAGGCACGAAGCTTGGTTTTGCCATGGGCTCTGCCTTCCGCCACAACAGTGGAAGGACAGAGGGACAAAATCCAGCATCTCCACGCTGTGATCGTTTGGCTTCTTATTGGCCACCCCTCAGAGTATTTATGAAGGGAAAAACAAAGAGCATAAAGGACCAAGAGAAAGCACTTGAAGCAAGATATAAATAGCAGAGGGTGTAGTGAAGGTACAGTCATTACAGCAAACCAACCAGTAGGCATCGGAAGCTCAAAGCTGTCTGGGATGCAGTTAAACCTAAAAACCATACGTGAGCCGTCAGTACCTTATCCTCTGCAGCCATTAATGCTTTCAAGGTCTGATCCATTATTCTTAATTGTTCTTCCAGCTGTCGGACTTGGCTGTTAGTGGACACAGGAAATGCACAAGGCCATTCACAAAATCAGTGCAGGTAAGGCATGCAGTGCCACACGCATTCACAGACACCCCACATGGTTCCTCCATGGTCCGCGCTCATGGCTCATCCGCAGCACAAGGAGCACGCGAGGAGCCGGGAGCCGAGGTGGGTGAAGGTGCAGCTGCTAGAAGGTCATGCTGTTTTTAGTCACTGCTCTGCAGCATTCCCCACATGTGGTGGCAATGGGCCCGCTTACCCTTCTGAGAGCTCAGCCCGCTCCTCTGCACGTTCCAGGTCACTTTCAATGATGACCAGCTTACGGGCCACCTGCAGCAGGGCAAACACAGCAGACACACTGAGGTCTTGCGTACTTGGTATAGAGGGGGTGGATATAGGGTAGTGATCACATCCACCGGCCCTAGGGATTCTAGTCGACTACAAATGGACCGCTCTTCTTTCCGCAGACTAGAGACAGGCAGCGCGCCCTCAGCAGAGACTGGGGCCCCTGCTCACAGACCGGAGTGGTTAGCTCCAGGTGGAGTCTAGATAATTACACAGCATCCACAGCAATTCTCGGAATGAGAGGAATATGAAATCTGCAATCTTAAAAATAGCAGGACGATGAGACATGAGGAGGCATTTTAGACTGAAAAGGAAGGGGGCCGTCGAGAGAGCACCAAAAATAAACCCAGAGACTACACCACACGGAGATCTGCACAGAAGGCCAGATCCAGTGAGAAACGCCAGCCCAGAGGAAAGGTTCCTCCGAGGCAGCTCCAAGCCCTGGGCAGTTTCAGACAATCGTGATGAAATGCAGAAAGAGAAACCGGAACCTAAGTCACCCTTGCGGTCACCATCACGCATTGTTCCATAGGGGACTATCGAAGCATTTCTCTTTGTTTTTGTAACAGTCTGGCTGTCCTGGAACTCACTCTGTAGACCCAGGCTGGCCTCGAACTCACAGAGATCTGCCTGCCTCTGCCTCCTGAGCGCTGGGATTAAAGACGTGCGCCACCACTGCCCGGATAACGAAGGATTTCGACCACCCTGGAGAGGTCTCTATGAAATCTCCTAATGAGCTCTGGGGTCCATGTTCTCTACAGTATCTGAACTGAAACATCTGGATCATGACAGCAGGCCAGCTTCCTTTCCTAAGGGCCTGCCTCTCCCTCTTTCTGGCTTAAGATGTTTTTGTCCCAGCCTTTAGGGTATGGGGAGGTATTGGTCTCTCCTCCCAGTGCAGGTGACTGTGCTGGCTTCATCACAATAAGAAGCAGTTTCTGCAGGTAAAGGAATCCTGCTTCCCAGAACCATCCACTTCTATGAGGGAAGCTGACTGCTAGACCCAGGGAGCCAGACAGTATCCTATTCCGGGTCACAGCTGTGAGTCTGTAAGGCTCTGGGCCCCAGAAACTGACCTCTTCATATTTGCGGTCAGCATCTTCAGCAATGTGCTTGGCCTCTTTCAGCTGGATCTCCTGAATTTCCATCTTTTCTTCATCCTTTTGGGCTCGGCTTTCAATGACTTTCATGCCTCTGGAAAGACAAACAAGGGGGCAGATCAGAGACGGAGAGATGACCAGTGTTGCTGTGGGACATGGGGCTCCATACACAGGGCTCACCAAAGTTGAACAGAGAGCCATTCATTTTCCAAAGCACAGAGCAAGACTGCAGAAAAGACACATATTTCTCTCTGCTCACTGTGAATGAGGTCTTTGGGTGCACTCTGGGAAAGATTCATGGCCGTGGGATACAGACACGCCATGCAGAGAGAGTTTGGGTACAGAGTTTATTTAATGCCTAAGGGGATTATGGAGTGAAGAGATAAAGACAAAGGTAGGGGAAGGGGAGAGGCAATAGTTACATCTTCAGAAGAGGGACAAACAGAGAGAGGGGATGAAGTGAGGTTCCAAATCAGCTTGCCTCATCAGGAAGGGCGGGGGCACGATTGGGGGTGGGCAGAGCTTGTCTCTTAAAGGGACAGGGTACCCAGGTGTCAGGGAAGGTCAGCAAAATGATAACATTTTGGGTACTGGTGAAACTTCTAAATTACCTATTAAAAAAAAACACACAACTTTCTTTTAGATTTATTTATTATGTATACAGTGTTCTGCCTACATGTATGTTTGCACACCAGAAGAAGGAACCAGATCTCATTATAGATGGCTATGAACCACCGTGTGATTGCTGGGAACTGAACTCAGGACCTCTGGAAGAACGCCAGTACTCTTAACCTCTGAGCCATCTCTCCAGCCCCTAAGCTACCTATTCTTAAGTGGGAAGGAGCTATGTCAGGACTATCTGAGTCCGAGGAGCATGGGAACAAGGAAAGCTACCATGCTTTATTTGTTAATGTAGCAATCATGCCCTTACTCCCTTTTCCTAAGGGAAGCCTCAGGTTGAAAATGGATGAACAGCCAGGTGTGGTGGCCCATGCCATTAATTCCTGCCCTCAGGAGGCAGAGGCAGGTGGATCTCTAGTTAGAGGCTGCCCTCATCTACATAGAGAGTTCCAGGTATCCAGGGGGTGAGAGAAAGAGAGAAAATGGATGACTAGGTGTTGGGAGGCAAGACTTTGGCACCGGATATGGTAGCATGGTGTTACAGTTCAGGAAATGTTAGCTGATCTAGATTTTACAGATTTGTGGCATAAGCAAACCATATATGGATTTCACTTAGCAAAACTTAAGTAAGCAGTTTTAATAAAGCATTATTCTTTAAAAGGCATTGATTTTTATTTCCCGTCTGTGAATGTTTGTCTACGTGTTTGCATATGCGCCACGTGTGTGCAATGCCCTCAGACGCCAGAAGAGATCATCAAAATAAACGAGTTCTACATCCCCTCTCCTCCAGTCTTGTTCTGCCAGATTGCCTTCAAAGTGCACTACCGGGAGGGAGTTATGCGCAAGACTACTCTTGACCAGCAAAGAAAACTAAGCCCTAGTAAAGAACAAGAGGAAAACTTAAGCTAACAAGGTTCCTTAGCCCTAAAGTCTGCAGGGACTCTTTGTATCTAGTGCCAGAGGGCAGAGGTTCACCGCAGGGGTAAGGCATGCCGGCACTGTTCTGAGCTCACACTGCTATGCCACCCCTCGACCAATAGAATGCCAATGGCCTCATGAAGTATTCTCACACTTTGTGGCTCGCACAGCGAAGTACAGATTTAACAAGCCTTTCAGATTGCATGAGGTCAGTGTGTGGTGGGATGGTTAAAATGGACTGTTAACTTGGCAGGTTCTAGAATCACCTGGTTAACAAACCTCTGGGCACGCCCGTAAGGGAGTTTATAGACGGGGCTTGTAAGGGTGGGGAGACCCACTTCAAATGTGGGCAGCACCATTCCACAGGTCCCTGACGACATAAGAAGGAGAAGCTAACCAAGCACTAGCATTCATTGCTATCTGCTTCCAGACTGTGGACCCAGTGTGTGAGCAGCTGCCTCATGTTCCTGTCACCATAACTTGCCCACCAGCATGGGCTGCGTCCCTTTGAACCATGAGCCAAAATAAATCCTTCTTTTCATAAGTTGCTTCTTGCCAGGTGTTCCATTCTACTGGTAAGAAAGAAATCAATAAAGCTGGCCTGCAAGAACCATGGTTCCCTTTACTATGACAAGGCTGGGTCTTTAAAGTCAGGTTACAGTAGAAGTAGGTGCAAAACACAGAAGCCCCTGACTGTGTCTGTGTGTACACATGTATTAAATCCAGAACATTTCAATTCTGCAGAGCCTGTAGGTCGGATCTGGTTTATCTATGCTTTCTCTTCTACCTATTTGGTTACCATACCTCCTTTCTCTAGATCTGAGACTTCTTGGGCTATATTATTTTACTTTTTTATGTATCTGGGTATCTTGCTTGCAGGTACGTCTGTGCATCATATGCATGCCCGGTGCCTGCAGAGGCCAGAAGGGAGCATCAGAAGCACTAGGCTAGAGTTACACCTTTGTGAACTGCCATGTGGGTGCTGGGACTCAGACCACGGTCCTCAAAAGAGCAGTCAGTGCTCTTAAGTGCTAAGCCATTTCTCCCTCTCAGTGTGTGTGTGTTGGGCAGTGTGCAGACACACTCAGGAGCTGGATGGTGTAGTCTCACCTCTCACTCTCATCTGCGGCCTTCTCAGCCTCCTCCAGCTTCTGCAGAGCTGTGGCCAGACGCTCCTGAGCACGATCCAACTCCTCCTCAACCAGCTGGATGCGTCTATTCAGAGAAGCTACATCAGCTTCAGCCTAGGCAGAAAGTGAGACACTTCAGAGCTGGGAGAAAGCCAGGGTGGTACCTTCAGAAACTGGCCAGGACTAAGGAGGTGCTGGTTCCAGACAGGAAGTCCGGGGCCTGGTGTAAGCTATCTTCCAGTGTACTGCAAGTCCTGACCAGCTGAAGTCCTCACTTACGAGCATCACACTTGGAAAGACACAAACCTAGAAACAACTCTCAGCAGAGAGTGGGCTATCAGCAGCACACACACGCTCACGTGCTCACACACGCTCACATGCGCTCGCACACGCTCACGTGCTCTCACGTGCTCACACACACTCACACAGCTCTGTCCTGCCCTAGTCTCCATGCCTTGCCTTTCACCCGCTGCTTGAAGGAAAGCTTCCTCACAGCTCCCTGCGGGCTGGAAAGGGGGACACTAGGCCCTATCCAGGCCCGGCTGCAGAGTCCCCAGCAGTATGATCGGAAGTCAGAATGCCACGTTTTCGTCCAACTATTCTTTCTCTAAGCGACTTCTCAAAGGAGCCTTACAATGAGACTGAATATTTTAAAATCCAGTGGTTTTAAAAACACATACCAGGAAAATTAAAAAAACAAAAACCCGAAACCAAAACAACAAACCTTACCATATGGAGATCTAATACCATCTAGAAACTTCCCCCTTGCCCCACCTCTTCGGTAACCTCTTTAGAATAACTGACCTTCCTGGAACAAGGCCAAGATAAATTGCCCCAAGGTTTTTTTTTTTTCCCCTAAGCTTATTGGAGTTTCTTAAAAGTCAAGGTTGTAACAAGAAATTTCACAAGTCTAAGGGGAAAAGCAACATAGATACTGTTTTTATTTTAATCTTTTAATTAAAAAAGCTTTGAATTAAAGTATTTCTCTTGTGGGCAGGCAATGACTGCTTCCTACAGTAAGTACTTTTGCTGAGTCCTAGTCTCGCTGTGATCAGAGCCCTGAGCCTAGACTGCCTGGAAGGGAAGGTGGGCCTTGCTAACTAGGTAGCAGTATTTATCCTCAGCCTTCCCCAACCAGTGTTCACCAAAGGCTGATGAGCCCTTAGGATATTTAGGAGCCATTTTTCTTGCAATCACAATCCATGCTTCAGAGCTCTAGCTACAGCTCTCTGCTTACGCACCTGTCTTTAAACTCAAGGCCACTCTCCACAGAGCTTGGGCTCCATAAATGTCTACAGAACTGAGCAAGTGAAAGCACCCTAATTTAAACAACAGCAGCTTCCAAAGCTCCAGAGGGAACTAGAAAAGCGTGTGCAGTTAAGAGAGAGGCAGCAGTCGCGGCCTTGAGTCACAGGAACTGAGACCCTGCGGCTAGGCGCTAGTCTAGGTCTGCGTAGGTCTTATCTGAGCAATGGCAGTGAACAGGGACTCTCCCACCACCATGAATGGCTGCGGTCTTTTTTTTTTTTAAATATATATATGTATACACACACACATACAAACATTTTAGACTCTTTATCTCAAAGAAAAAAGCTACTATGTATAACTGCTGCCCGTGGCAGGAAGCAGGGCCAGTGTGGAATGAATGGGAGGAGCAGTTAGGACTGAACCAGCCCACAAGGTCAATCATTATCGGAGAACAGCTTGGAACTGGGCCAAGCTGGAAATGTCCTGGCTGACTGAGTTTTTCCTCGAAGAGTGGAGGGATTGGAGTAACCAATTTCTCAACTACAGAGAGTTAACTGCCTTTGAACGACCGTTCCTTTATCTTCTTATTTTATGTGTACTGGTGTTTCCCTACACGCGTGCTTTATACCACACGTGTGCTTACAGTCAGTTCCAGAGCACCTGGAACTGGAGCCAGGAGTTACAGAGGGTTGTGAGCTGCCATGTGGGTACTGGGAACAGAACCCAGGTTCTCTATAAGAGCAGCAAGTGCTTTTAATCTCTGGGCCATCTCCCTCAGTCTCGTTAATTGGAAATATATACATATTAAGGTCATAGCTTTGGATCGGGTTAAATTTCTTCCTCTTACATGTATTTCATTTCTAGAAAAATATCTATTCCTTTTACAAACAGGATGGTGGGGTGGAGACAGAAAACAAAAACAGAAAGTCAATTGGGATCGGTGGTTTCAAGACCCCTGGGCTACCTCTGAACACCCAGTGCCCCAGGTAGTCTAATCCTGACCAGCATTAGTTGCTACAAAAATATTAGTTATTACAATATTAGTTACTATAAGAATATCAGCCATTAGACAAGTCAAATAAATCTTTTTTTTTAAAGGCCAAGAAGGGCTGGTATGGATTTCTCTAGAGTGCCTAGGTCATGTTCAAAAGACCCTTTCTTACTATAGTGTTACATAATAAAATCACTATCATTTAAGATAAAAGCAGTGCCCTCACTATACCTGCTGCTGGCGAATCCGATAAACATGGGCAGGATTTTAAAAACACTTCTTCGCATGAAATCCTGAGTTCCCTACAGTGGAACCAAACCTCGAGGACCCGACTGGCTCACAGGATGACTGCCGATGTGCAGAGGTGGGAATGAATGGGGGGGGGGGAGCGGGGCGCACACAGCACCAGAAGCCATGGCAGCCCATATTCGTTCCTGCCTCTCTGCACACAAGGGCCCACCACATTCGATCTGCGCTTCCTTCTCTTTGCTCCCACCCCCTCTACACACTTCCTCTGGCTCTTGATGCAGCTCAGTTGAGTACTGTTTTGTAAATATCCCCCCACATCCTTCCCCCAGCACGGTTTTTACAACTCTAAACTCCCTGACACTCAGGTTATTTAACGACCTCCAAGAAGACCAGCTAAGGGGTTCACACAGGTGCCTATTCAGTGGCTGGACTTAGGACTGGTTCCTTTGGGCCAGTTTTGGCAGAGGAGAAGGCCAAGCTATAGAGACCGTATCTGGAGGAGACACTCTTAAGTATATGTAATGAAGCTTCATTGTTTGAACTGGATTAGAACCTGAACATCACACAGGGGCCACCACTAGCTGGACAGACGACGCCACTGGGAGACGTGTAATAGAAACAGAGACTCCCGGTTCCCAGGCCTAGAGACTGAGAGGTCAGTGCAAAGGGGCGGGACCCACAATGTAAATGGCAAGCTCTTCTCTTCTGTCACCACCCAAGGAAGCTGGGAAGGATTGCAGGAGCTGGCCAGCAAGCTCTCTACTAAGACCAAGAGAAGGACCTCTAACCCAGAGGGCTAAGGCAAGCTCGGGAGAGCTCCATCAGGGCAATGTGAGGCAGGACTGAAACCCAAGCCCTTTGGCTTCTCAAATATGAGTTTATGGATGCTTTGGGATTGGTGGTTCTCACCCCTGGAGTCTCTCCCAGACACCAGAGTGGAAGGTTCCCTACCATCCCCTGACCTGCAGTACCCCAAGTACGTTAAGAGACTGTCTGGATAGATCCTGGCTAACATCAGCAAAGCAGTTACTGCAAGAAAATCAGCAAGTCATCTCGATTATTTTTTAGAGTGGCCAGGAGCTCACACAAGGACACTGCCCTCTAGCCCTCAAGAATGAGAGCTTGAGACTGGTACCTGGGCTCACTGACAAACCACCTTCCTGGGGGGAACCTTGCATTCTGCTCCAAGGGCTCTCTTATGCTGGCATAACAGTTTTGAAGATCTTCTCAGACCCCAAGACAAGTTTAATTTCCTAATAAAAGTCCCGTCTCTTATTCTCCTACCCTCATTTTGAGACTCTGATGTCTAGGCTGGCTGGCGATGCTTCCGCCTCGGCCATCTCAGGCGCAGAGAAGACATGCATGAGTTACCCTGATTTATTATGTGCTGTGCTCCACAGGCCCACACCTGTCACCTTCACCAGCTTATTTCCGGTTTGGTTTTCTCCTCAGGGTTGAAGCTTTGCTAGATATTTCCCGAGGGTCTCGGCATCACAGCACCCAGGTCGTCTTAAGTATTTGTTGCTGCTGTCTGTCAGAACGGACCTACTGCCCTGTGCCTATCAATCAAAAGCACACAGAAATAAGGCATTTGGGGAGGGTCGAGACCCCAGATGCAAACTATTCCTGGGCATGTAGATCACTCTTAGTGCACTGAGTTAGGTTTCTTCTCACAGTGGCCCCGTCTGACAACACTGCCAGCAAAGCCTTTCCAGTTGAGTTGCTGGTTTCTTTTATTTCAAAAATGCTCCTGGAACCCAACATGTAGTGAGCTACTCAGAAAGAGACTGTTATAGCGGGGCAATTAGGAGCCCTGGTTAAACCTCCACCCAGTGCTCACACGTGTGAGAACCTCAGTGCCGTACATTTCCCTGCCCTGTAAGTACTAACTCCCACCAAGGAAGTCCTGCCAGCTCACCGTTCCTACCCTTTGCCCTGCCCCCAAACAAGGAAGTGGCTACCTTCAGAGAAAACAGGCGCTCGCTATCGCCCGACCCAACAAGGGACTATGTGTGTAGAGAAAGCCGTGTTTCCACTTCAGCACTGCAAAATGCTATTCCAAACCAGACCTGAATAAAATCGGAGGCGGACATGAAAGTCCCGTGTGTGCACCAGCACAGACAGAAGAAAACCCTTTCACTCTGAAGGCCAGGGATCTGGAATATATTCTCAAAGTCCTGGCTGAATCTGAGCGGAGCCTGAAATGATCAAAGGTCAGGTCTTTTATTTCATGTAAGCTGTAGTTACACAGAGAGGGTTTCACCCAGCCTGCTGTGCAAGACCAAAGTGACTAGAGCCAAGCAAAACTTCTGCCCTTATATGGTCAAGAAAGGGAACACACACACACACACACACACACACACACACACACACACACACACACGGATGGACGGACATTAGGGGCACTCCCATGGAGAACAGATAAACACAGTCTCCTCTATCTGGGCCGAAGCCTGTAATTTGGGAGGCATGCTGGCGTAGCAACAAGGAAGAGAGCGAGGTCCTGAGGGGCCTTGCTGTGACTGCATGGGAAAGTGGGAACCTGGAGTCCCCGAGTCCAGTCAGTCACAGCCACCCTGGAAGTGGCAGGGCAAGCAGAGTACATTGTTTCCTGGTTCCAGAAGAAGCTGCCAATGCTCAAGAGTCAGGAAAGGGCTGGGGAGTTTTGGAAATCAGTTCGTTCCCATGATTAATAAACTTAGCCATCAAGAACCCGCCTGCACTTCTAAGTCTCCTCATCTGCCAGGTTCTACCCAGAAAGCTGGAGAGAGAAGTGGTTTTTTTTTTTCTACTTGAAACACACATCTTACCACCCTACAAAATCCTTAGGACACAAGACCTAGAGTCCAGCATTCCATCAAGGAAAGTAACTTCATTCCAAGATTCTGAAGGGCCCACACACCTTGGGAAAACAAACAAGGAGGAAGTAAGCGATATCTGCTTTTTCCAAGGTACATACCAGTTTAAGAGGGCCCCTTAGGTCTGCTTGAACCTCGGAGTACCTGAACCGGAGCCAACTCTACACTGAAATAGTTTCTGCAGTGGCTCAGGGCTTTGTCACCAAACCTTAATCTTTGCTGCCAAGAGAAACTGCTAGCTTAACTCACAGCCTAAGCTATGCCTAATAACGACTGAGATTAGCTTCATCCATACGTGAGCTCCAGCCTAAGAGTCAGGCAGTTTGCATCAGTCTCACTGGTCATACTCAGCCTTTGTTGTGAATCCTGACCAATCACCCTGCCAGAGGAGTCCTGAAAAATGGTCTTAAATTTTCTTTAAAAGGGATTTGAAAAATTGCTCTAAATAAAGGCATAAAGTTTTGAAATGAATGAAAGCTCTGTCCTTAGCAAACTAGCCTGCGAATGCTGTTACCAAAACCAAACCAAAACAAAAAACAAACAAACCAAAACAAGGTACAGCAGGTGTGTCTTCTGTGTGCGCCACCAATCACTAGGCCAGGAGTCCAGTGAGGGTCCATCACTAATATGCCTTTTCAAACCACAGTCCTAATTCCCCTCCTAAAATTGAGAAAAATAATTGTTGACTAAAAGCCTTAAATGGGGGAATTTTATGGGTAATGAAGTGAGTCAAGCCATTTTTAGGAGCCATTGCCAAGCCTTTACTGTAAAGAATGCTGGGCAGGGCAGGGCTGGACATTGCTAAGAAAGGGCAGTGTAAGTAGCACTACCTCTGTCTGCTAAGCCCCCGCTGTGATCTCTTTACATACTAGCCACGTTAGACTCAGAGGAAACCAAAGCACTAACAATTGTCCCCAGCCAGAGAGGAGATGGGCCAGGATTCAAATACTGCCAGACTGGGCCCAGTGCTCTGCATCCTGCTTTTTAGTTCACTGATTCATAGTGGTTAGCCAGGCATGGCTCATCATTAATGTATCCCCAGCCACCTGGAGTCCTCTACAGTGGGACTTTTGCTAACTAGTCCTCTCAAGCTAAAACTGCTATCTTTTAGCTATTGATTTTTTTTTAAAATCTTTATCTGTATTTTTATCTTAAACTTCCTCTAGTTGGGCCTTCCTCTTAGGAAGACTCCCATGGTTCTCTGTATTTTATACAAAACATGTTGTGAAGTTTCTGCAAGCCATGCAACCATTACAAACACTCAGCCTGGAGGAATGACTCAGTTTGGAACAGTCCTGTGTATATTAAGCACAGCTGGACACCACATTATAGTTTGTCATAAAACTCCCAAGGTGTTTGAATACCTTGATTTAAGACACAGGCATGTGCAAATACCCATGCGGCACACACACACACACACACACACACACACACACACACACACGATAAATTCTAATACCTAAACTCCCTTTGAAACCTTGTTTCTATTTGCTGGATACATTTGCTTTACGAAGAAAGGAAGCCAGGTACTACATTAGGTAAAGAGGAGGAGTAGCCGGCAAGAGGTATAACCAGTAACCATTGACGTCTGGCTAACTTTTTCCAAAACTCGCAACAAAAGGATATCTATTGTAGAGGGATATCTACTTGGAAGATGGGAAGACTGAGAAACCTAACGCTATAAGGGATGCAAGCTCTGCAAGTTCTAGTTCTTCCCTCAGAACCTGGTACTGTCTATGTCTTTAACCTCCATAGAGAAATAGCTTTTAGGAATCACAGGATCGACACAGACGAAAGTCCAGCATCTGAAGGCCCCGAAGTCCCACAGTGCTTCTCCCCAGAGACTGATCTTTAAAAGGGGGGACTCCTCCTTCCAACCCCAGTTTGAGTAAATAAATGCCAGTAGCGCAAAGTGCACGTCCCTGGGACACAATTCATGATCGCCCCAGAAATGCAGTCCTTTTAGGGGGAAAATACCGCTCCCTGAACCTTCTCAACAGCGTTCCTGCTACCCGCCGAGGTTTTTTGACTTTAGACTAGAGAGATACAAAGGCATGACCGAGCAGCAGGGTTCTAGTTGGCCTAGGTGCGCCAGGTGGGCATGGGGCCTCGGGGTGATGGGTGGGTCCCTTACGGTCTCCCGCAGCTTCCGCTCCTGGTCCAGCTCGCGCTGCAGGCTGCCCGCACGCTCCTCCGCGGCGTCCGCCTGTTCCTGCAGGCTCCGGATCTTTCTCCGCACCGCCTCCAGCGAGCTGCTACCCGCCATGGCCAGGCGGTGGCTGAGGCTGCGCTCTGTCTCAGCGCTCTGTAGCTGCTACTGCTGCTTCTGCTGCTGCAGCTACCGAGCCCAAGTCCGGCGCGTTCCGCCCAGGCCGGCTAGGCAATGCCGGCGCCCCCTGCGGCCCAGAAGCAGCCCGGAAGTCACGGCCTCGGGGCCGCAGAGAGCCGCGGGCGGGTGCGCGAGAGCAGAGGACGGGCGCGGCTGGCAGGCGGGCGGGGCACCGCGGACCCCGGGAAACAGGCAGCCGGTGGAACCACTGCGCGTGCGCGCGGGGACGGCCGGCTCTGGGCTGCTTCGCCTGGAGCGAGGCCACCGCAGGAGGGCGTTTGCTTCCACTCCGCTGCCGCGCCTGGGTGGCCCCAAGTAGAGGACCTAGATACTAAAGCCTATGGCGACTCCTGCTGGCCGCTTGGAGCGCTCTGGAATCCCGATTACTCTGAAGCTGAGCCAGGATACGAGCCTTCCAAAATATGACTGCTCCCTAAAGGAACTGTTCTGGTCATAAAGAGCGCCATCATTCCGAATGCTAAAGGCCATGGCGACTCCTGTTGGCAGTCCGGAGCGCTCTGTAATCCCGACTTCCCAGAATCCCAACAAGGAACTTGGAACCTATGGTATGAATACCTCAGGGAAACCGGTTCTTGTAAAGAATCCCAGAACACAAGCTCCTGACTACAAGAACCCCAACACCTGAGTTATCTCGTTAAGTGTAAATTCCTATCTGACAATGCGGAGTGGTTAGACTGTTCTAAATACAGCAGTTCTAGAATTGAATCTGGCTCTTAGGTCTCCGCTGGTTGTGTAGGTTTGGACAAATGCCTTCTCGGGGCTTCATCTTTTAAAAACGAGGATAATAGCACAGGGCTCTTCGCGGGACTGTTGAGAATTATCAGATACTATAAAACGCTGAACAATGCCTTACATACAGTTAAGACTCAAACGATATAATTAAACAACCACAGGCACTGCCTTTAGAGTTTGGCTGGGCCCCGTGTCCAGTTGTGCAATTTCAGACAAGGCAAACATCCTAACGTTTCCTGGTTTTAATTCAGTCTGATACTGGGAATCCGATGAACCCCAGGTACAAGACTACAGAAGCCTGTGACAGAGCCTCTGGTTACCAGCTGCAAAGTCACACAGATACAATCTCTAAGAAGCCATCTCTGCCATTCCCTCCTTTACTGTGTTTCTAAAAGCCTGTCAAGTCTCTGGGCTTTATATCCTCCTGTATCTTAGTCAAAGAGAGCTGTTAAAGTCAGTCCTTGTTTAAGTGTGTGTGTGCACGTGTGTGTGTGTGTGTGTGTGTGTGTGTGTGTGTGTGTTATAAACAAAGGTAGAAAAAGAAAACACTCCTGCCAAGGCTGTCTTCCAAAACCAGAACACCTCTGGAATTCCTAGTCCCCTCCAGTCTCTGCTGCAGAAAGCAAGCCTACTAACTCCAGCTAGGGCCTTAATCAAGTCCTGTAGGTGGAGACTCTTGCTTGGTTTTCCAAGCTGTTGGTTCGCTGAGCAGCAGCGGGTACAGCTCCTCCCCAAAGCTCCCAGACCATCTGCCTCCAACCTTAAGGATACCCAGACAGGGCATCTGCACCCTCCAAAGGCAGACAGGGAAAATGCTGGCCACTTGCCAGTGCAGTAAGCAGCCACCCTAGTGATTTAATGTCTTGCTTTTCAAACACTAAGAGTTTATTTCAAGCTGATGTCACTACCGAAGAGCTATGGGCAGTTAGTTGTTAGGTTTAGCTATGGGATGGAAATACTGTGGCTGGGTCCCACCCCAAGAGATCCCAGGGGAAAACCAGAGTTTGGTTAAGCCTGAGTCACTACATCAGGAAGGAGACCTAGAGGGATGAAGACTCATATCCTGCAAATATCAGCTCCATCAGTTATGGGGGGGAGGGGGAAGAAGCCAAGATAATGGAGTCTTAACAGGACTCGGCCTCCTGTAGGTGGAAAAACCAGTAAAAATCCAAAACAGATTGCTAGGAATGCCAGCTCCTGAGTGACAGCCTTTTAAACTGGGAAAAACAACCATTTCTGGAAGATTATAGCTTGTAAAGTAGCTTGGTAAAATGGGAACATGATTTTAGTAATAATAATCAAAACTGTACTTTTTTAACAGTAGAGAGTAAAACGTCCTCACTGCCACTCTCCAGAAGGATAACTTTACTTCCGCCTCTCCCCGCTAGCGACACCTGTCTTTTCCTCCTCAAGTCTTAGCTATTTTAAGTGAGTCAAGATGCCTCTAAATAGAACTCCCTTCAACATTCCTAGTCTCCAAAGAGCCAACGGTGTTTTACAGAGGTAGAGGAGAAATACACTAACCAAAAGAAACAGAGAAGTGCACACTCTCACCATATTTAGAGACAGTTTTCCTCCAGCACAGAGAGAGAACCAAAACTGGTGTTAGGAACCTCCCTCTCCTCCTGGCCCCGCCCCACAGCTGACTTTAAATAGCCTCTTTTCTGCTTCTGCCCCACCCCATTCCAGTACCCCCCTCCACAATTTCTCACTGAAGACGAGATTACCACTCCATAGTTACAACAATTATTACCATCCCCTTAAGAATTATAGTAACTTTTTTTCCTCCCGCTTTCTTTCACACTGGGCTATTTGCAAATTCTCTGAATTCCTTTCCTTATAAGGAATATCTCCCCTAGATCTATCAGCGGCTCTTTTGAAAAACCTAAGTAAATGTCCTGCGGGAGGATTTGGGGGAGATGGGCATCCTCCATTTAGCACGGACAAAGCAGACATCTGATTCACATTATACAAACTGGCGGAGGCTGGTTTTTTTTTTTTTTTTTCTAAAGTAAGGTAGGTTTTAGCAGAGTTTTCACTAAACCATGCTTCCCCCAAGCCTCCTTTCCAGGGAACTTAACTGTCACTGAAAGTTTTCTTTTTGTCTGATCCCAGTTGTTGGTTCTCTAGGCCACTCAGTTACCAAGAACACTAGATAAATCTCAAGCCTTTTGTGATACAAAAGGCCTTGCCAGTTTCAAAACCCTTGGATAATCTGCACTACACATTATCCAAAAACACAAAACCCAAAACGTACAAACTGCTGTCAGACTTGGGGGTTCAACTTTCGGGTGTAGCTTTGTCTGCTACTCACACATTCTTGGAATTGTTATCAGCTTCTCAAGGAATTCTTTTCTAATTGGGCCTCTAGGCTTAACTGGCTTCTCCAGGGGAATGTGGGGGTGAAAAGAAGTTAGTCCATTGGAAAACTGACCCTCAGCTTGACTTTCTAGACAGAAGAGGCTAGCTCTGTAGTTAAGATTCCGAAGGGCAGTGGAGAGGGTGATAGCCAAGCTGGAGCTGTGTCTATCACCCCCTGGAGTATGCGGTGGTTGTCAGAAGGCTGACAGGTGGGGGTGGGGCGGGCGGGGGGCAGCCAGCTCTCTATGCCTTATAAAGCACTGAGCTATATATAACTCCCTGCGTCCTTTCTGGATCTCGTGCCTCAGACTGCAGACCCAAGCAAGTATCATCTTCCCTGGGCAGGTCTTAAGGTTTGCCTAGTGAGAAAGAGCGCCTCAAAGTGTCCCCTGTAGCCTGCAAGATTAGCCTTTGAAGTAAGAGTGTGAGTACATTTTAAGACCAGGCTCTCTGTGTCCAGACTAGGCTCATCAATGGAGGCCACTGAGAGTGGCAAACAAGAAAACTCTGTCTTGCACAAACCTTGGTGATGACACACACTTCAGAAGTTTTATACCAGCAGGAGGCGAAGTTCCCCTCCATAAGTCCCCAATTCGGAGGCTGTGTTCTCTTAGCTTCTCACCCACCCACCTCCGACCAAAGGGGAGGAGGTAAAGAAGAGGAAAAAGAGAAAAAGGAATGCACGGAATATAAACGGATGTGCGCAGCGGCAGTCAGAGGCGTCATCCAGTGCTCTGGGCCACAGCCAGGCTGTGTGCAGGTGTCCCGGCAGGAGGAGGTTTACCCCCCCCCCCTTCCTTTGCTCTGCAGTACCTGTGGTGACCCCCAGAATGGTCACACGGACAGGAGGTGAGGGAGGCAGTGTGAGCGTGCACTTACATCTGTGGCCTTTTTCTCAGCCAGCTCCAGCTTCTCCTGGGCATCTTTGAGAGCCTCAGAGTATTTGTCCAGTTCATCTTCAGTGCCCTTGAGTTTCTTTTGCAGTGACACCAGCTCATCTTCCAGCTGGGAGTTGGCGGTGGAGTACGAGGGGAGGAGGGAGGGTGTGGGGTGCGGCAGGCAGCGTGATCCCGCAAGGCGCGGGGTGAGGGTGCACAGACCGTAAAGGACAGGGACAGCGGGAGAGAAAGAGAGACAGGGAAAGACAGGGAGGGAGAGAGAAAGAGAAAGTTAGCCATTCGTGTGCCGTGCCACGCCGCGCGCCCGGGTACCTTGGCGGCGGTCTCGTCTGCAGCCAGGAGGCTGTCCTCCGCCTTGTGCAGCTCCTCTAGCACCCGGTCCCGCTCGTCCTCCGACGCCCGCAGCAGCTTCTCTTTCGCTGCGATGTCCTCCTCGAGCTGGGGGCAGCGGCAAGCGGGCGCGGGCAGCCGGCATGGACCGGGTGTGAGACACACAACAAACGGGTGCCAGGTTGGCTGGGGCCCTGGGGCTGAGGGATCGCTGCTTTGGGGCTTAAGGGACCCTAGGTAATCTCTCTCCTAGACCTGGAACCGCTCAGTGACTCATCTCTCAACACCCCCCCTCCCGGGAACCACGCTCTCTTGCGGAGAGCTTAGAGAGTTCAGGTCCCCGACTTGAAGGGTTACAGAAACACGCCCCTGTTTGGCTAGCTTTCCATTTGTGTCTTCTAGTCTGTCCCATCTTTGTTCTTAGGAAATAATTAAGTGAGTCCCCCTCTTCCCTCCAAAGTCTCCATCTCTTATCCAGGGGCTCTTTCTCCCCAACCAAAAAGTTCAAAGAACTTCGGACACTTTAGGACTTGAGCCTTGCCGGACTCCCCCACCCTTCCCTTCAGTCACATCGAGAATTGGTATCCTTTCTCCCTTTCCCTTTCAAAATTGGTTCCCAATCCCGAGGGTCAAGAGCCTCTCTAGGGAGTTTATGGACCTCGCGGACTCTGGAAGGGCCACTAGCATCTTCGGCGGACAAGACAGAAAAGTTAGAATCAGCCAATCAACCTAACTCCCTTTTCTTTCTTTCTTTCTTTCTTTCTTTCTTTCTTTCTTTCTTTCTTTCTTCCTTCCTTCCTTCCTTCCTTCCTTTCTATTTTTTTTTTTAAGATGCGCGCCCCTGGACACCCTGGGCTTGGGATGGGATGGGGAAATTGTGTCCGCTGGGGTCCCGGGGGCTGAGTCGGGGCGGTGGGGGGCGGGGTAGACGCAGACCTGCTTGCTCCGGTCTTCCGCCGCCTTCTTGTCAGCCTCTGCCTGCTCAGCTCGATCCAAGGCGTTCTCTTTGTCGAGCTTCAGCATCTGCATCTTCTTCTTGATGGCGTCCATGGTGGCAGTGGCGAGGGGGCCTTAGGCAGCGTCGGGAGCAAAGACACGAGCGCGGTGGGGTGGCTGAGACGGAGTGCGAGCGCGGAGCTGCCTGCTGCTCTCTGATATGTACTTTCCCAGGGGGGCGACCGCATTCCTTAGGACAGCCAATACTTTTTTGGAAAAGCTTGTTCCTCCTGCCCCCTTTCCCAGTCTCCTGCCTCCGCCCCGTGCCCCCTCCTCGCTCCTCCCGCGGGGCCCGCACGCCCATTCGCTGCCTCCTGCCGGCCTCCCAGTTGACGGTGGATATGACTATATATGGGGACCCGAGCCTCCGAGGCGGCGGCCAGGCAAGGCCGTCCTATTTCTAAACCTGTGCGCCTGGGAAAGAGCGCCCGGACCTCGCTGGAGCAGAGCCCGGCGCTGAGCGAGTCTCTAGCCACCTCCCAGAGCCATAGCCTGGCCATCAGGATCCCCAGGAGAGCCCGCCCGGAACCACCCGGGATCCTGGGAACAGGGCAGGTGGCGCGTGTGCACTGGTCTCACTTGGCATCTAGATTCTGGGGTGCTTAACCTAAAGCCTGGGGGCCGCCTGTCACAGTCTCTGCACCCCGCATCTGGACCTGGGAGCTCTCAGTACCCAGCTGCGCTCTTCTGGCAGCTCGTGGCCCACCAGGTGTAGACCAGGGGCTCTTACGTTCTGGAAAGTTCAACCAGAGCAGAGAAATGGAGCTGGAGGAAGGTGTGAGGATAATTCCTGAGGTCTCTTGAGACTTTTCACCAAAATGGGGTGGGTAATAAAATACTTTAGGGCCTTAGGGCCCAGCTGACTGAGTTATGCGCGTGTGTGGTGCTTTGGGAAGGGTGAG